GACAGAAATCTTCATTAAAAAAACTGTAAGCGTTATAATACCTAGCTGACTCACAACGGTATCCTTAAACAACTTTTTTTAGGAAAAAGCAAAAGATTAATTGGGTTGGGGGTGGGTAGCTTAAATCTCTCATCTCACTGGTTGTCTTTAATATATTTATGTATAATTCAATATATATTCATTGTTTCTGGTTTTTAGTCCATTTAACAGGTAGATGCATTCGACAAAAAAGGCCTGTGAGAGGCTGGATTCTAATCTTGGTTTATTTCATTTTTGTTGTTCTTTTTACACTGGTCTAACATGTACTACTAAAAATCCTAGTTCAATTTCTGGGTAAAAATAGTAAATAACAATTTACAAAATAAACATATATAGATTTAAATTGAATGATAAATTGATAAATTGATGATACATCATTAAATTGATAATTCTTGTTTTGGGATATAACCACCCCTCAACCAAGCCAACCATTTAAAACCACGCAGGTAGAGAAAAGATAGAATTCCAAGGACTAGATATAACTGGCGTATATAAAGGTGTTCTATAAGAAGGCATTGCTTAAACAATAATACATCATTAAATCATAATATTTTGTTTGCTAAATGTCATTTGTCATGTAAAAAGTCGGCAATAATATAAAACATTTCTAGGAAGTTGGAATAGGTTGGATAGGGACCAATTGGGAAAAGATAAAATAGGTTGGGAATTGGAATGGATATCAACTAAAGAGGAAGTTGGGATTGGGATTCAGTGAATGTTAGGATGATAAAAGGGTTGGTAAATTGAGAGTTGGAGTAATTGGTAAGATTGAGTAATGAATAGATGTTTTATGGGGACCACTGTATTGGAAAGAAAATAAGCAAGATATAGAAGTTAAGAACAGAGAAACAGATATAGTCAAATACGTGTATAAAAACTATGGAGAATATGTAGTTTAGTGGATAAAAAATGATAATAAGGAGTGAAGACGACATTTTGGAAGGAATTAGTGGATTATTGTTAAGTTGGGATATGAGAGAGAAAAGAGTTTAAAATCATCATTAGAATCATTTAGTACTCTGAAACAACCTTCCTTTGAATGAATGAAATGGAATGAAATTGAATGAATTTGAATGAAATTGAATGAAATTGAATGAAATTGAATGAAATTGAATGAAATTGAATGAAATTAAATTCAAAGCATTTATTAACTTCCTTATGCATTGAAAAGGTTTGACTCGTGGCAATAAATTTCCTATAGATTAAAAAAAAAATTGTTAAAATGATTTTCAGCAGATCTAGTAAGTTTTCTTATTCTTAAATTTAAAGAGAAAAAAAGTTAAAAACATAAAGATGATGTATTTTTTTTAATTCCCTTTAATTTCTATTTTATTAAGAACGTCTTTTAATCTTGACGGTGAAATCTGATTTGTAAGTGGCAGCGCAGGGTTTATAGATGGCAGCACTGAGTTCAAAACTGTTGATGATGATTTACAGAAAACTAAGAAAGAGAGTTTTTATAACATTTTTAATTGTGTTTTATATTATTGTACAGCCAATATCACATATCAGAATAAATAGCAAGAGCGCATGAAATGTTGTCTTGAAATCTATTTAAGACAGTGGTTATGTTTTAGGATAATTTTTATTTTTAATTTTAACTTAATTACCCTGAAATATGCAGGACAGCAATTGATATAGTAAATTCGTTTTTCCGCGGCATTTGATCTTAAATATGTTGAGAATACAACATTTAAAAAAAACATTTGCTATGTATTCATATATCTGGGATTCACTGTATGTGTATTTTGTAAAAATAATATTATATATTTTTATACTACGGTGGTAGGCGAATTTAACAATATGATGAAGACGACCTTTTTATTTAAATTTTAATTTGTATCAAGGTTTTTTTGAATTACAAGTTTACAAGCAATTAAAAGTTTTTATTTAAAAGCTTCTCTTTGTTTTCATGTTTTTGTTTATACATGCTGTTTAAAGCTTGATTTAAATCAAAATATAAATCAAAAGTCGTCTTCATTATTTTGAAATTATCGCCTACCACCCTATTATTATTTATATCATTAGATAAATTAGTTTCATTATATGTATCATTCTATTATTATTAATATTATTATTATATATTATTTATATGTATTTATAGAGAAATGTTTATAAAATCCATGAATTTTCTTTATAGCAACATGCCAACAACAAAGATTGATCAAAGACGACTTATAATTAGATGTTATATTTATAATTTTCTTATTGTCTTTACAATAGAAACTTTAAATTATTTCTATGTTTGAAAAGGAGCGTATTCAGGATTTTTTAATTCTTTCTAGGGGGGGGGGGCCTCATCACCCAGTGGGGCCTGTAACAACCCCCTGAAAACCATAGATTTCAATGATCCGGGGGGGAGCGGAGCCCCCATACCCCCACCCCCCTGAATACGCATTTGAACTTACTTGCTAAAAGAAGATGTGTGTACATCATCAAACCTCCAATTAATAAGATACTTTCTAAAGCCTAAACAGAGAACAAAACGTTAAGAAAATTATCATTGTTTTTTATTTACTTTCATCTTATTTAAAAACAAATATTGTCTATTGAATGAAGAAAAATGTAAAAATAAGTGGTTACCACTTACCATGCCATTCACTAAAGTAAAGTCCCACGAAAAATTGCAGTTGATAAATTGTTATGAATGTCGTCTTCCCTATACAGTATTTATAAATATTAAAGGCTGTTTGCAGTTTATCTCGTTAGACAAATCTTTTGTTTGAATATATTTTACTTTGAAATCAATTTTACTATAACATGACTCTCAAATAATATTTTTATTATTGTCTTTGATATCAAACAACTTAACAAATTATGGAAGAATCGACATTCTAAACTATTCACCAACTGTCATGTTTCGTGGGACACCCTGTATCTCAGAGACACCATTATTTAAAATTAAATAGAAATTGACGTAATGCATCATATTATGAAATACAAATAAAATTTGAAAATTTTTGTTTTAATCAATTAAATAAACTTGCCTGGATTTTTAATCTCTCTCGGAGTCGTATGCGGAAGAAACTCATTTTTAGATATTTAAGATTCTACTTATGCACATTATAGATCATAAGATTTACGATCTAACATTTTTTCACCGGATAAATAGATTTTAGTTTGAATAAAAAACGGAGAGCGTCCTATTTCATATTAGATTATATTTAAAAAGTCGTCTTTGATCTTCAATTGACGATTGCTAACCAAGGATAAATTTTTATTTTAAAGGCTTTTAAAGGGACTGTAAGCGTAATTTTAAGTGTACCTCCATACACAGGTACGATTCACAACGTTACCCTTGAAACCTTTTTCTGATTTTGAAGAGAACAAACAATTGAAAATATTAGTTATCAAAATTATAATATATCTAATATATCTAATTCATATTGTGAAGCTGTTAAGGGCACTGTTGTGAATTGGACATCACCATGGACAGCTCCTTTTTCAACTTAACTGTTGTCATTAGATTTAAGATCAAAGAAGATCTTAAAGTCGTCTTTAAACTGTCTTGCTCAATCACTGTGAACTAGACACAAGGTAAAGGTGAAATTTTTGCGACATTTCGGGTAGGACTTTGAGACCTCGTAGCTTCTCTAGTTTTGATTTAACGCACAAGATGAGCAAGTTTATCCAGTTACATTTTCGAAATTCCAAACGTTTTTTTATCGTCTCAATAGCTCTTCAATAAAAGGCCGGGGTTCTGATTTAAAACGTTAAAATATTTTAATCTTGCGTGAAATTTACTTTAGTTTGACGTGTAGTGGAATACAAACCATATTGATAAATATTTCACTAGAATATCACTATAAACTGCATGTAATGTAAGACATTAAATGCTTCTGATCCAAAATATACCTTACTTTGCTACCTGTCTGTACATTTGGTCATGCAGTTTTAGCCTTCAGGTAGCATGATATGCAATAAAATATATATTACTAGCATGGGAACCCAGCGTTGCCCAGGTTACTTATAGTTACTCCTGCCGTTTACCCGCATTTGGTCAATTTTACCAGGTTAAGCTAAATTTTCGAAAAAAATGTGGACCGGCCCTCAAACAATCTCAAAACTCTCCCAAGCTCTCCAGCTTCTGAGTTATGATCGGAGAAACAAACAGACAAAAACCCAGACAAACAGAGATTACAACTTTATATATGAAGATATCAAGATAAAATATATCAAAAAAATATATTACAAGACAAATCAAAATATCAAAAAAATGATATATTCTAAATGTCACAAATAAATTCAAATACCAAAGACGACTTTCAAGTCGTCTTGCTATTGTCATGTTTCGTGGGACACCCTGTAAATAAAATAAGATATATCACAATCAAATTTTATCGAATTTTATCGAATTAGGTTTCCTGGATTTTAAAAATATTTGATGAAAATCGAATTTCGTAGGAAGCTAATTTTCATTGATAAAATCATTTCATTGAGGCCCCCTATGCAATAGCTTAATCCTCCCAGGGGGGACGCACACCGGTGTGTGACCCCCTGACATGCACCCCCTGAAATTGAATTTCAAGAATTCGTGATTTGGCCTTTGACATATATTATCATAATGAATTAGATAACGCGCGCCACAGAACGCCTGAAGATTACGCGATTCCTGGGCAAATCTTTAAATTCCTAACCATGGCATTTCGCGGACTCAGTAATATTGATAGATAGATATCAGCACTCAAGGATAAGGCAGGGATGCCTTGTAAGACGTAACTGGCAGTGCCCCCCTCCCCTCTTGAGAGACCCGTGAGAGAACTGGTTTTGTCCGAATACATTCTAAAACCAATCTGCAGGAATGATGCAACTTTAATTTATTTTATCGAAACATTATTTATTTTTAATTTGAAGTGCGAAAAATGTATTCATTCGTAAATATAATCAGTGTTTGAAAATGTAAATTGACACGTTTGATAATTATTAAAGTTGCAACCTCCACACCTATGACTACCTGTATCAGATCCAGTGTCAGACAATCAGTGGTACTGAAGGGTTGAAGTGAAAGTGAATTTTATAGTTCTTTAAATATGGACACAACTTGAACGATATAAAGTGAATTTCCGTATTAACAATACTTAAAATTGTCTGTGACATATTAAACAAACGAACTCAATAGTACCCCCTTACAGGTGTAAAACAAGTGAATCTGTACAAATCCAAATACTCGAGTGAGAATCAGGAATTCTAAGACATGAATATCTGCAAAACGTGAAACATGTTGTTGTTGTTTTTATTCCTCATCGGCTGTAGGATCGTCTATCCGGCCGATTTGGTGATCAGGATACCGGGAGATCCGTCCAAGCAAGATGGTTCCTACAGATTGGACTATAGGAATAATGTCGATTAGATTAAATTTGAAATTAAATTTTGCGGATAAAATGGTCTGTCGTATACTAGGAAATTACCCTGTCCTAGAGAACGATTTTGGGCTCCCGTCCTAGTATACGATTTTTGGACCGCCCGCCCACCCCCTCCTGTCAATTTTGTACATGACCACTTTTTCAACAATTTTCAATAAAATTAGTATATATTTAGGGTTAGGTTAGGTTAAGACACCTTCTGGGCCAAGCGCTACGGCTAGAAAAGGCTAGGGCAGAGCGCTGCGGCTAGGACAAGCTAGGGGCCGAGAGCTGCGGCTAGGACAGGATAAGGGGCCGAGCGCTGCGGCAAGGATAGGCTAGGGGGCCGAGCGCCATGGTTAGGACATGTTAGGGGGCCGAGCGCTGCGGCCACATGACTAATTATATCCATGTGTTACATATGAGGTCTATATACTAAATTGATAGGAGGGGGTCCAATAACCAGTATATATGTGGTTGATGATTGATAAAAAGGCAGATTTTTTTTGATTTTTTAACAATTGGTGAATTCGGTAAAAAGCGAAAAACAGTAAAGGATATTTAAACGAAATCAAATGATGAGCGTAACTTCACATTAATGAAAATTATAAGTGAGGTAATTTAAATTTCAAAGATCTGGAGATGCACATATATTAATTAGCATTCAAATGCGATTTTTTCATTTATCAGTGAAATCAAAAAGCGACAAAATAAACAGAAAAGAATATAAGGGCGTTTCACCAAAAATTGATTGGCTTAAGCTCACATTTAGGATAAATGTAAGCGATTTAATTTAAATTTCTGAGATCTGGAGATAAAATGTGAAAGATGCACATTTATTACCTACATTCAAGACTTTTTCACGTATCAGTGAAAAACAAATAAACAGGAAAAATAAGAATTAATTGAGTAGCGTAGCTATAGGCTGGTATGAAGACTATAGAAAGAGCTTTAGGCTAGGAAATTTACAGTATTGGAAACTGAATGGTTTACAAGTATAAGATGCATATACACTACAGTACATACATGGTATGGATCCGTAATATAAGATGCATATACAGTACAGTACATACATGGTATGGATCCGTAATTCCATTAAATATTAAGGACTCAGTATCTGTATAAACAATCTCATTTTCTTTGGTTAATAAGCTCATTTTTTTCAAGCTTAGATAATAACAACATATGTGCTTTTAATATAGAATTAGATTTTTCGTTTTTTAGCGTACGACCTTTAAACCCTAAACCTCATAAGACATATTTTCGTTAAACCCCTCCACCCCAAAGAAAACGACCTTTTTTACGATTAAACGTGATTACTTTTATGTCTGTATAAAAATCTTTCCATAGAGAATAGAATATATTAGAGGGGAATTTAATAGAAAAAAGTGTAAAACGGCCATTTTGTTGTACTGTTTCCATACTGCAGGTGTACTTTTAATTTGTGAACATTTACATGATTTGTACACTTTGAACTCCCTTTCAGGCTGAAAGGGACTGAAAAAATTCATACCGAGAGAAATTCCCCTCTAATATATATTCTATTCTCTATGTATCTTCCCCCTTGTAAAGTAAGTTTTGAAAATTGTCAATATTAAATCATTTTTGCAAACAAATCTTGACATATCAAAATTGACATTTTTCTATCAGACCGCCGGTTGGGTTTCCTGAAGCTAATACTGAATTTAAACCTTCAGATATCCAAGAATCCATTGACTTCTCAAGGAAAAAACAAACTCAAACCAATTTTATATGTTTAAACGTTGATTCAGAGGTTAAAATTTGAACTGGCATGGATGTCACTTGTTCAGCGACGTAGCTCAAACTCATTCAATTTTGTAGTATTGATTTAGTTTAAAAGAAAGAAAAAAACCCAGTAATTTAACAGTTTACTGTGTCTTCAAAGTAAAATTTTTCCAGTTCATAAGATTTTTTCTCTAAATTCATATTTTTATGCAATGGGCTTTTTGCACAAGTTTTATGATTTGTTTATATCCAGAGGGTTGCCGGGTACCAGATATGATTTCACACTGTACTACACAAATAGTACGATATTAAACTTTCCTGCTTGGAAGGCGAGCATCACAACAGCTCCTGATCCACCATCTAACCTAAATATAGAGGTAAATAGATTCATGAAAATAATGAAAATTATTATAATTTGACGATAACGATTAAAATAATGAAAGAGATAATAATGATAATAATGACGATAATGATGAAAATGATGAAAATGATGATAATGATGATAATGATGATAATGATGATAATGATGATAATGATAATAATGATGATAGTGATGATAATGATAATAATGACGATAATGATGAAAATTATGAAAATTATGAAAATCGTGATAATGATGAAAATTATGAAAATGATTATATAGTGACGATAATGACGATAATGCTGAAAATTATGAAAATTATGAAAATGGTGATAATGATGATAATGATGATAATGTTAATAATGATGATAATGATGATAATGATGATAATGATGATAATGATGATAATGATGATAATGATGATAATGATGATAATGATGGTGATTATGATAATGATGATAATGACCGAAATAATGATGATAATAATGATGATAATGACCGAAATATATTTTCAATAAATGTGGAACTAACATCTACTTTTTTACTCTACAGAGGTTTGGTCCATCACCATCACCGCATTTTAAATATAGATAATGATGATAATGATGCTAATGATAATAATGATGACAATGATGATAATGATGATAATAGGTGCAAGGTGGAAAGCTAGCTGTGGTGAACTGGGAGCCGCCAGTTATCGGTCAGCATAGTGGGTTTAAGCTCAAGCTCATCCCGCTGAGTGAGCCAGGGAAGACCATCAGAAATATTGTCATCAGGTCAGCTTTAACGGATATCTTAATTTTTCTGTCTCAAAATTAAAAGATTGAAAACTTTCAATAACATTTTCTTTTTTAAAGTTATGTACTGAATGATTTTTTACAGCGTCTTATTCTTTATGTAATGTCATGTTATACAAATTTGCGAGGTCAAATAGTCTTGCTAAAGTTTTACGCAATCAGGTTGCAAAACTAGGATTTAGAAAATTACTGTTCAATTACTTTGACTTTATGACTCGAGTTTGAAGAGCTCTCTGATGCCAAGGTTAAAATGCAAGGAACGTTAATTGCAGTTGCAAATACTCTGCGCACATATTGAATTCAGTTCTCTCTGGGCGGAATTTGTAAACAAGAATAGATACATCAGTGTTCGTTTAGTATCCGAGGAGGTTAAAAGCATTAATTTGGATAATTTTGATAATTCACATAATAGTTTCCTATGACCATAATATTTCATTGATTTTTTATGAATTCCATGTCAGGCTTTGACATCTGTCTTGTGTTTACATTACCGCCCAGAGACAAGTACACAGCAGTATAAAAAAAATGCGTACACCTCTGAAATAACTTTTCTTGTATTATGACCTTGTCTGATACGACGTAATTTTGTTCTTTGACAGAATAAATGTTCAGATTTTCAATAGAGCAGACTAGCAGAGTAGATGATAGTTTAGTTCATGTGTCCTAGAGTATAAACTGTTAAATGTTATCTTAAAAACCACCATCAAAACTTGTCATCGTGGTCTTAACTTATTATTTTTTTCATCTTCTCCCCACCCCTTTCCCTCACCCCCCATCACCCATCTCCCAAACCTCTTAAGAATTCATGTCAAAAATTTGACATCTGGTTATATAAATGGGGGGAGGGGGGGGAATTATGATGTATTATGAATATTGTCGTGGTTGGGTATCAAAGGTATATTCAAGGTATTAATGCAAGGAAAGTTAATTGCGGTCGCGTATACTCTGCGTACGTATTGAAACCAGTTCTCTCTGGGCGGACTTTGAAACAAGAATAGAGGCATTAGTGTTCGTTTAGTATCCGAGGAGGTTAAAAGCATTTAATTTTGATAATTTTGAAAATTCACTTAATAGTTTCCTATGACCAGAATATTTCATAGATTTTTTTTGTGAAAATGGATTCCATGTCAGGCTGTGACATCCGTCTTATGTTTACTTTTCCGCCCAAAGACAGTACACTGCAGTACAAAAAATGCGTACACCTCTGAAAATACTTTCCTTGCATTAGTACCTTGGGTATATCCTGATATGGCAAAAGAGAAATTTATTCAGATTCATGTTAACAGAACGAATACAACAAACGAATACAAACCTACTTGTGAAAATAGTTAAAAGGAAAGATCGAAACTTTCTGTGAACATTGTTAATTTCGATATCCAAAATGGTCACTTTAATATTTAAGGATCAATGCTTGATCCCTCAGTTAAATTATTAAATTAATTATTACCAATTGGGAAAAGGCAAGAGGTATAAGATTTATATTCATATAGATGGAGATCAATTCTTGATCATGAGATGCACAACTAAAAAAATCTGAAGGAGTATTTTATTGCAATGATGGCTGTCACATTTTTGGTATACTTTTTAAACTTTGTACGACCTAAGCTTGAACTTCAAAATTGCATTTACGATTGTTTCAATCCACGAAACTATTGTTGAAAATTCGGGAAATAAATGTCCTGTAATTAGGATTTAATAATTACATAGGAAGTGCATTGAATACACAGTGATTCATTGTTATCTTTCAAAATTTGACTTATTATTTTCACATTTTTATACAAGTGGACTCGGGTATCCAAACGAAATCTTGGATTTGTAAAAACTATTTATTATTTTGACGTTTGTCTGGGAAAACTAAGCTAAACGTTCTCATGGAGGGACAATAAAACTACAGATTTTAAGTTTAAGGGACGGTAAGCGTAATTTCAAGTGACAATGTCAGATTTACAACTGTTTCCCTTTAAATGTTAGGTCGATCAAAGGCATGAATTAGATATCTTTTTGTTTCTTTAACCCGTTCATTTTCATTTGCGGTTTCTCTACGAAAGTGACTTGGGCATTTCTTGCTTATAAAAAGCAATGGAGTTATTCACAGAAATAAACACTTTTCAAGTTAGAAAAACGAAGTTATCTTCCATAGTTTTGATCAGCTTAAGGTTTTTTAAGGGTGGCGTTGTAAATCTGGAATTGCTACTTGAAATTACGCTTATAGTCCCTTTAAGGTCATTTCTTGTGAAATGAGTTAGCACACAATTCTGGTTGGATATTTTCTCGTTAGAAACTTAGAACTAGATTATTTTGAATTTAATAATTTATTTCTACCAAAAGTACATGTACCTTTTTAACTTAACCGGAAAAATTTAAATAATATCATTTAAAAAGTGTAAATTTTATCACGCCACCTACATTTTTATCATTACATTTGCACGAAATTAGTTTATTTTGTTTTATCAACTAAGTTAGTTATTATCGAATTTTATTATAAGAAAAGAATGAAAAGATTAAGATAAACAAAAAATAAAAATTTATTTAATGTGAATAATATCTCAATAATATCTTTAAAGAAACTATTTCTTTTTTTTTAACAGTTAAAATTTAAATTTAAAAAGAAAAAGATTTTTTTGCAGTTATTTTTTGACAGAAGAATTATCAAATTATTTTTCTTCTTTTTTTTTGTTACTTTTGATGGTCTTTTTTAGCAGTTCGGATTTGGGTTTTGAGAGTAAAAATGTTTTTTTTTCCAGTTTTTTGTTGATATTTTGACTCTTGGATCCGGATCCGGATTTGGGATGCAAAAATGTTTCGGATCCGGATCCTAAGCACTGCTTTTTTGTATAATTAGTTCTTTCTTCGCAACTTATTTTTTTTTTATTTCAGAGAGACATCGAGTACACTTCGAGATCTTACACCGGGAGCTACATACGAGATTCAGCTGTACACCGTATACGAAAACAAAGAATCCCAGGAAAATTATTAAAAATGCGCAAACATGTACATTAAAGGCGGCAGGAAATCTTTTTATGTTTTTTAATGATAAACTTTAGATAACGTTTTTCTTTGTTAACGAATGAATTCTTTATTTTTTGAGGCATTTTTGTAATTATTGCGTACTTGAAGCATTTTTGTAATTATTGCGTACTTAGGCGTACATATCTACAAATTTCACTACTCAACCGAACACCCCTGGACGATTTATCGTCTGGTTTAGAAATGAGACGACCCTACTCGTCCTCTGGCAACCTCCGTACCCGGCAGGATTCTATACTGACTACAAGGTAGTTAAATTAGTGGTAAAATGTCTATGTCGCGAATGTAATGTTTTTGAGGTTCAGTAATGAGGTCAAAGATAAAACTGACAAATGTAGGTCAAATAGGTCAAATAGTTAATGTTAACAGTTTGTAGGTTAATAGTTAATAGGTTAACAAATTAATGTTCCTAGTTATTAGGTTCAAATATTAGTATCAGCTATCACTAGTAATAATGGGGCCGGACTGTCATGGTAATTTCAAGTGACCCTACATATAACCATTTAACCTTTATCTGATTCAATTTTCAGAGAGAATAATTTGGATATCTCATTGATTTTTAGATTTTTTGATTTTACAAACCCTTTAAGCGAACTGTTTAAAATTAGGTCAATCCTTTGAAACAAGATCTGTCAGTGTGAACGTTTTTGATTTTTATTATTCTTGAATTTTAATCCGTTGGATTTAATTGTAGTGGTAAATAATAAAACTTAATGCAGGAATAAATCGAATAATTGGATACCATTGCAAACTCTTTATCAGGTTTTATTTGGTTTCATAATTGGAAGCCTTTTGTGATAAAGTAAATAAGCTTTTTTGTTTAAATTTGACTTTTTTTGATTATTTTGTTTTTGCATTCAGAAATAAACTTTTAAGCATAGCAGTTTTATTAAAGGGTGTGAAAATGAATAGAGTTTGGTATCAACTTCCTGTCATAGTTGCGTATTCTTTTTTACTTACAGGGACTGTAAGCGTAATTACAAGTAACTCTTCATGCTAAGATGGCAATGCCCGATTCACAACGATACCCTTGAAAGCTTTGTCCGATCAAAATGTTTATTTTAAATTTTGGTTTCTCTACAAAAAAAAACATGTTGGAATTATCAGAAATAAACACTTTCAAATCTCGAGAAGCGACTTTATCCACACCCCTTTTGATCAATTTTAAGGTTTCAAGGGTACCGTTGTGAATCACGCATTGCTATTTTTGGGAAGTACGCTTACAGTCCCTTTAATTGCGTAATAATGGAAAATTGTTATGTAAAATTTGAAATGGCGTAATAATATAAGATTGTTATGTAAAATTGGAAATGCTTAAAATAGTAGATGGATGTAATTGTACTTCCTAATTATTTGGTAATTAATTAACTAGAACTACAATTCATCATTTATAATAAAATTAGTGTTTGAATTTCATTTTTGATTTTGCAGTTGCGCAGATGCTTTTAAATCACTAAATCTGAAAACCGTGATCTTCAAAATTCTATGAAGAACTAAATCTAAAACCTCCTGTGCATAAATAATTTAATTTAAAAACATGACAGAAAAAATTATTTATGTACGATAATAACTAAATCTTATAATATAGGAAAAATCTAAAAAATTCATTAAAACAAAAATTAACCGTAAAAACTAAAAAAAATTAAGTGAAATGTATAAACTAGGCTTTTAGGGCGCTTCGCACCACTCTTCTATTTCAATTTAAAACATTTTCTCCTTGTATGCATTGTAAAACAAACCTAAAAAAGTTCGCGTTTTAATCAAAAATATTGTGGATTTTCAAATTTGATATAAATCAAATTTTGTTGGAGGCAAATATTTGAAATTTTGATCATTCATAAAGTTTACCTGGGGTCATGAGAGGTCCCACACAAAATTTGGGCCCAATCAATTCAGCTGTTTTGACGTTTAGTAAATACAGACAGACAAACAAATAGACAAGCAAAGAATATATAGATAATAGATATATTTATAAAATAAAGAAACAATCTAAAAGATCACAAATTTGTTCAGGTCTCGATAGACCCCGAGGACGCTACTGTGTCGGAGACCTATGTACCGAAAGAGGGTGAGCCCCCGGGCCCGGCCCAAGCTGCATTTAATGGACTAGTTCCAGGAAGAGCATACAATATCAGGTATACTGTAGTGTACTGTACTGTACAACACTGTATTGTACTGTTCTGCACTGTACTGTACTGTACTGTACTGTACTGTACTGTACTGTACTGTACTGTACTGTACACTGTACTTTACTGTCATAACTTAAAAATAATTCTATCAATGCTATCAAACTTGAACAAAGATGGCAGTAACCTTTTTCGTTTTTAAATCTTTTTTTAATTATCCTCAAAAATTACAAATTATGAATTTTCAAGTTAAGTCTCTTGAAGTACACAGTACAATTGTACAATGTAAACTTTATAGTTTTAAAATGTTGAAAATTCTCAGGATTCGTGTGGAGCCTTGTAAAATGTAAAATTCATAAAACATTCATTTGTTTGTCCATATTTTATTCTAGAGTTTATTCTAGTGTTGAAACAGTGTCGGAGGGACATATATCCGAACCTACCACTGCCCAGTACCGAACTGTTCCGCTTCGACCCCACAATGTAACCTTTGATGCGGAGAATATCGGTCCCTACTCCTTTACCGTCAAGTGGAGCGGTCCTGCTGGTATATCGGAGTTTGACAGATATCAAGTTGCCATCGGGATTAGACGGAAAACTCCTCAAATTATAGGTAAGCGCGACAAAATGGACGAAGTATTTATAATTCAAAGGGACTGTAAGCGTATATAGGAACATTTAGAGCCAAACACTTTAAACCTAGTAAAACGACAATATTTTCCACATTATTGATTAGAAAAAGGTTTCAAGGATTCTGTTGTGAATTGTTCACTACCATCTGTATACATATGGCCACTTGAAATTACGCTTGTACAGACCCCTTAAAGGTATTTGAATAGAAATCATATAAAGGACTTCATCAGGAGAAGAGTAAGAAGTTCCTGCTGTAAAGAATTTATAGAAAGGGAATTTTTGTCATTTGAGTTTATTTAGAGCGTGGTCAACCATTAGTGGCAAGTTTTACGGAAAATCTTCGTCCGGGTCGAACTTTTCAGGTATTATTACGATTTATTCGAGCTGGGAACTTTTATATAGTAATTCTTAATCTCGACCTTTTGTTAATCTGTAGATTAATTTAATCTTTATAATCATACCCAGTCTGGGGTTGAAGTAAGCTTTCATCAGGGGGAGATATAACTGAAATTAAGAGATTAAGCGTTAATCCTTAAAATAAAAGCGTCCATATTGGATATTGATACCAAGCGATTGGGATTATGAGTATCTATTCCAAAAAATAAGTTCCCAGGTCAGGTTTTCTTCAGAATTTACTTATTTCGATGTAATTCTAAACTAAGAACAAATAAAATTTAGTAGGCTTTGTTTGTACATATGTTTACTTTGACTAACTGTGACATTTCTAGAGCCAATCTTATTGGAAACAAAGAACAATTAGAAAGCAATAATTTCGTGCTTAATCCGATCTTTGTGAGGTCTACTTAATGATTCCTAATTGTGAATACAGAATCTTATTTTTGTTGACAATAAAACTAGTTTTTGAGCTGTCCTTACGTCATTGTAAAACAAAACATGAATGCCTGTAAACCTATGCTTAATGTAACTTTCATTCATTGTATTATTTGTAAAATTAATATTTTTTCTTATTTGTTCATTTTGTGCAATGTTTTTACTCTAGCAGGCCAAACATTTCTAGGTCGTTGTTAAAACTGTATCCGGAAGTGTAGCCAGTTGGCCGGCCACCGGAAACGTCACCACCCGGCCACTTCCGGTTAGAGAGCTGAGTCAAGAGACGAACCAGACCGGACAAATCAGTCTGGTTTGGGAACCTAATCCCGAGTCCCAGCAGGACAGCTATAAGGTTGGTTAGTTTAATTCAGGTTGGATACAAGGTTAGTTTAATTCAGGATGGATACATGGTTAGTTTAATTGAGGTTGGATACAAGGTTAGTTTAATTCAGGTTGGATATAAGGTTAGTTTAATTCAGGATGGATACAAAGTTAGTTTAATTGAGGTTGGATACAAGGTTAGTTTAATTCAGGTTGGATACAAGGTTAGGTTAATTCAGGATGGATACAAGGTTAGATTAATGCAGGATGGATATATGGTTAGTTTAATTGAGGTTGGATACAAGGTTAGTTTAATTCAGGTTATATACAAGGTTAGATTAATGCAGGATGGATACATGGTTAGTTTAATTGAGGTTGGATACAAGGTTAGTTTATTTCAGGTTGGATACAAGGTTAGTTTAATTCAGGATGGATACAGGGTTAGATTAATGCAGGATGGATACATGGTTAGTTTAATTGAGGTTGGATACAAGGTTAGTTTAATTCAGGTTGGATACAAGGTTAGATTAATGCTGATTAATCTTTAAAAATCTACCGACACTCCAGTCTTTATATTGACGCAGAAAAAGCGTATTGGTAATCCTGTTGGCTGCGTATGAAAGGATATGAGGTGTTCCTTCTTAACTTCCTTTTCTGCTACGCCAAACTTATACGCATCCTTCATACGCAAACACCACCGGGGTTAAATATACGCAACCTAACAGTGGTCTCCAAAATAAGAGGGAATACAACGAAATCCTAAAAATTTATATTTTACTTTAACGGAATTTACATTTTACATTTTACACACTCCCTCATGCAAAATGTATGTTTCTCTTAAGATAGAAATACAAAAATTCCAAAGTTTAGAAATATATTCAATGAATTGTCTTTACAATTTATAATTAATTGTCAGTCAACAAATGCAAATCATGATATAAGACTTTGCCTACATACATTTTTTTCCTTTACTTTCTGTCATTTTGATTGTTTTTTTTGTAGTATTATGACTTTTACTTTTGCGTAAACAATAAACATATTTGCTATTTGTTCCATCTGTTCAATAATCAGCTGTACTAAGTTTAATTCGGCTCCTGACCTTCATGCGTAGACGGAGTCATAATATGCGTAAATATATGTATTTCTATGCGTAACTCTACGGAAACCTTAACGCATTTACGCAAGTTTTTCCCGGCCACAAACGCTAAAACGCCCCCCCCCC